CACAGCGACCGTGCATCCACGTGCAAATTTGTAATTACGCATGTAATATAATGCCCGTAAATTGTTTCTTGGAGGACAACACAGAATGATGTAAACAGCGCTGGCAAGAATATAGCTATACGTTGTTCGTAGAGCGTCCATCCGTCCTTACGTTTTACATCAATTCCTTCGCAGCCGTGTTGTCATGATTTATTTATGAAATTTTCACGAACTGTTCCTGTTACGTGGATAAGAATTTTATGTGAATAAAATTCTTATCCAATTTTATTAAATTTTATTAAATAAACCAATTTAGAAAATTTACGTCAATTATTGTTTTTTTAAATTGATAATTGCTTTTTGTTTTAATAGCTCGAATCCGCTTTGGACCGTCTGGATATATATATAGTTCATATCGAATTTCAGGATAAAAATTTGATTTATAATTTTCACATCGTATTTCGTGCATTTTAGTATGTATCGATATGTGTGAATTAATGTATTGATTCTTCAAATTTTTCTCATATTACGTGAAATTATAAATAAAAATCTATCTTGCAAATTCTAATTTTTTTCCCAAATTATAGCTCACCGAAAGTAAACTTTTAAATTACGAACTTCATCTATATAGTACTTACATTTATTTATTAAATGAGTACTCGCGCGAAGAATACAGCGAGCAAATAATTTGTTATTCCGTCCGAAAATCATGCAACGCTTTTAATCGCACTCCGAAATAAATCCGCGAAGCGGAACGAAATATGTTACGCAGTGAATTTCAAAACCGCGTATATCCGCGTGCATTGCGAATAAAGAGGAATTATCGCGTCGTGACAGACACGGTCGAGAGAGCAAGAATGCAGTTGATATCACACACGAGCGCGGAATAACAACCGCTGTATCTCCGCGTCTGGAGGAACCGCGCCGTCACCGTATCGGTCAGCAATTGAGGCGACGATATGTAATTTATGCGTGGGGTAAAGTGCGCGGCATTTCGACGGCGCGGCGGCGTGTAATAATTTATTCCACGGAGAGAGATTTCGCGGTCTGACGGATTAAAGGACGAGAGGGGAAACGATAAGACGACCAGACACGCGCGCGGGCGTCGAGACGCGGGCGCAACGACAGCGCGGAATTGACGCGGCCTGGCGGCGCGGCACGACTCCGACGATGCGAGCGGACACGTCTTCGTGCGACCAGTCATAATTATTATTCACGAGCTCAATTAGTGTGTCACGTCGTTAACGAGGTTGGCCGCGACGCGGCGCGGCGCAGCGACGACGGCCGGCCGGCCGGCCGTCCCCGCAGCTGCAAGCCTCGATTTAACAATGTCGCGCCGCGGCATCCCGGCGACGGCGGCGGCGGCGACGGGCGCCTTTGAAAGTTAATTAATTTGCCGTTGAGGCCGCACGCGCGGTGCAACAAACTGCAGTTGCCGTGGCCCGGCGACGACTTTTGTCCTCGCGGCCGTGCGAGAGCGAAGCCTTAATCCCGCTTCATTCATCATACCATCCTATGGTGTGCGCGCAATTTTAATCCAATAGCGGCTGAAACAAGCGCGTGATTTCGCCTTCGTGCATAATAAATAACAAAAATAGTCGAGATCAATACTCGCGCCGCGGCGCGAGGTAACGAATTTGCGGCGATTTATTGTCAAAACTGTCGCGGGATAAATCGGAACCCATCAATAACTTGCACGACGTTAAAAAAAATCGAGATAATATTTGAAATCTAACGATGACAACAATAAAATTGTAATACAAAATAATAATTAAATCGAATTAATGTATTATTTAGGATACAACGGGGTAATTTGAATAATTTCAAACTTTTTGTACAATTTCTCGATAAGTAATAATTTTATCCTTAAATTAAATATGTAGCAGAAAACTCACTTGTTTAAAGAATATTTACTCAATATATGAAAATTATTCTTTAAATCTTGAAATGCAACGTTATTATCCGATTTACCCCTACAATTTTAATGGGTAATCAATTTTGATGGGTAATTTACATAACATTGAAAATGAACATTAATATTATAATGAAAACCAAATCTTATATTTAAATGTTTGTTTTGAACATTTTAATTATATTTTCCAGATCAAATTGAACACAAATTAGAAAAACATAAAATGATCTTGTTAGTCCCAATATTTTAGGTACGAACATAAATGAACTTTTTAACATTGATATTATAATAAAAGCAAAACATTATATTTATCTATTGTGTTTTAAATATTAAATTGCACTTTTGAGACCAAATTAAGCAGAAATTAGTAAGAGAATCTCTGACTTTTCGAGATATTTAACTTTTTCCAAAACATTACTAAACAGCGGGATGCCCAATAGAAGTTCTAGGAACTTCACTTTCATGATATTTGTTTTTGTGTTAGATTGTCCTTTTGTGTATGGAACATGAAATTAGTTGTGCAGCTCCTAAAACCGAGATCACACCATCAATGACAACTGTAACGGCTTGTTCCATGCTCTCTTTGCTCCAATTCACTCGAGCAGTCTTTTTTTTTATAATGCTTAATGTCTGATAAAATGAAATGTATCTTAAAATCTCTTATTTTTCTGAAATTCTTGCAGATACTTACTATTATCCAAATTTCCCCACTGTTCAAATTACCCCACTGTACCCTAAATATATAATTATAAGTTAAATATTACAACGCCTCTGTTGAGAATATACATATACACGATTTTGTAAATAAAATTGCGGCGCGCGCGCGAATTGCTGTATAGTTTCGCCGCGACAACTGGGGTCCCGATCAGAGAAAGGAATTACTCCGGACTAAGCGCGTTCGCACAATGAGAAGCTGAAGGAATAATGGAGTGGACGGAATAAATTATGTCCGCGACACACACCAGAGCGCCCGCAAGTTCGCGAGCCACGCGGCAAATTACTTTCGTCTATCGATTTCAAGCGCAAATGTGGTCCCCCTCCCCCTCCCGCTTGCGCTCGCACTATAATATAATACAGTTCGGCTACCGTTGGTATTAATAATTGCTCCGCTGCAATATCACACACGAGCGCATCCCAATCAATGCCGCGAGCGGCCGACGACAGTCGAAATGATTATATTTGTCGTGGCTATAATGTCAGCGGTGGAAGTGCAGTGTTATGAATAACAAGCCGCGAGATTAATGCGTATTGATTGCCGCAGACGCCGCGTCACGCATATCCCCGTCGGGTAAAACAAAAAACAATGCTATCATTGAGCATTTCTCGGTCGCCGCGTAACAATTTTGTTTGCCCAGCGTACCAAAGTTATTTTTAAAAACAAATTTGAAAGTTGAAACTCAATTGATTAAATGCAATCTTAAATATCTGACTGTCTTTTCTCTCTTGGTCCTCTTCTTTTTTTTATTTTCTCTCTCTCTCTTTCTTTCTCTCTCTGCAACTGCATTCGATAAAAGTATAATTTATATGAGATTTCGAAAGATCGATTTCTCTCGAAAAATATATCTTTCTCTCGCGAATGAAACGAAAACGATAGATGGAAGATTTTATAATATTTGTAAGACCGTAAATTATACATTGCATGTGATATTTCGCGAAGTAATGTCAAGGAATTGCTCTTTCAGTCGAAACAATTGTGCAGTTTGGATTTCTCTCTCGGGCGAATGTAAACAGTAGAGACGCCTGGAAATTATTTGTCTAGACACGCGATATGGGCACTGTAAACGCTCGTTACAGGTCAGGACGAAATCTCTCGTCGAGTAAAGTCGTCCCACGAAATTTAGCCTGTTTGACGATTACATTGTCCGCGGGAAATTAGATTTCCCTTGTCAAGATTTGTACACACGCGACTGCTTAAATTACCCTTTTTTATAAGACGCATTTGTGTTAACTGTTTCAGAGAGATACGTAAATATGTCGCTGATTTAATTTTGTAATTATTTATATAATTAAAAATTAAATTATGTTATTCATTGAAATTGAAAATTTAGACTTTTAATTAATTCTGCACGGGTAATAAGTATTTAGCGATCTTTTCAAAATACCTGTTTCAACATTTAAAAAATGTAGAATACATTTATTTGAGAATATTCTTAGAAACAATATTAGCGTAACAATGTCTACTGTTAAAGATAGATAACGAGATTTAAAACGAATATTATGATGAAGATAACTCGCGTTGAAGTTAGAAAGAAGTATATTGTTACTCTCAGGCTCGTTACAAGTATTAAAGACCAGTACTGGATTTGAGGGAGGGCGGACTGGGCGGTCGCTCCGGGGCCCCCACAAATTGGGGGCCGCCACACGGAAGGAACGATTTTCCTGTAAGGTCTAAAAATTTTACTGTACACAGATCTGAAAATAATTTTGATAGACCATCAAAATAATTGTGTTGGAAGTTCATATTTGTTGCCAGAATATTAAAATGTTTTACAACAGTGCTCATCATTTTTGAGTTTCCAACAAAATTATTTTCGGATATGTATCCAGCAAAATTTTTAGACTTATCAGCAAAATTCGTTCTTTGCACAAATAAAATTTAATCAAAAAGAATTTGGTTAAAAATCAAAGGCTTCGCCCCCACTGATTCCACACACACAGCTCGCGCGTGCCCAGGGGCCCCTACTTCTTTAAATCCGGCACTGCTAAAGACTTAATGAAAATGACTTAGCATTCCGTATTTCATCTCGTAATTATCGCAAGCTTGCCTGAGAGCTCATTTTATCGTCTTACAACTAGATGAAACACTTTCATCACTTTTTCATCAAACCAGACGCGAATACTTCACTATTAACAAAGAGCGTGTTGTAAAGTGCATTGATCCCGTAACTGCGCGCGCTATACGTTAAAGCTTAACCGAACGCGGCGTCTAAAAGCTCTTCGCGGCGGCGGTACGCGAAATTATTAACGACGACGTTACGTCGAACGTTAAGTCGGACGTGCATCGAGTACTAATTAATTTGCGGTGCGATCGAAGGAAAACGTGAAAGGCGACGCCGGCGAGCCAGAGAAGAGAGAATTTTTGTGCAGCATATTTTCTTTCTGCCTTCAGGAGAAACATGAAGTAACGGATAGCGAACGCATCTTCGCTGCCCCGGAGGGCTCCTCAGCGTCTGGAAGCAAAAGACACCGGTGGACACACGGAGAAATTACGGCATGGATTTCCCGAAGCGGGAGTGGAGCCACAGGCTCAGTCTTCGCGGTAGCCGTAGGGCTCACGAGGTAACTATTTCGTCGAGAATTTTCGCGTTTTCTCGGGTTTTTTTTTTACAGGAATGCGAGCGCAGACTCGTACGTCAACTCGTGCACCACAGAGAAACGCATTAATTCGAAAGCACATGTGTGTGTATGTATGTATATGTGTGTGCCGATATCTCGAATCCTTCAATATTTCGCCGTTCGAAATGTCAGCGGCGTTGAAATTAAATTGCCACGCGAAAATCATACCATAACTAAAATTTATTAATAACAAGATCTTTTCTCTCCTTTACATTTCGTATAATTATAAACGCGTTTTCAGATATCGTCAGTTTTCAGATATCGTTATTCTCTGAAATCCACAAAATTTCTGGAAGTATTGAATAATTTCTGAAAATTATTAAAACGCTAATTCTTTGTGTGTATGTGATGTCTCGGGTTGTACCTGTTTTCTCCTTGACTGCATGTCAAGCCGCCGTATATACCGGCGATTACGCATAAAAGAGAAAAAGTAAAGACTGTGAGTTACATGCAAGGGATGCATGCCCTTGCATGCATTATTCATAAACGGGTTCCTCGGCAAGACTGAGCGTTGCTTCGTGCGATATCGTAACGCGAACATACGAAAATATACGTTTTTTTTTTACATATATCGTCACGAAATATATCGCAGCTGCGAGAAGGTGAATTAAACGAATGCGTCTGCATGCATTATTTCGGCGTAATTGCGTTACGTTATATCTTCCGGCGCCGATAATTACGGATTGACATAAACGTAATTTAATCGTTGCATATGCACATTTATAATAAAATTTATATTGTTATTACTTTACGCATGTCGATATTAATGTCGGCAGACGTATATATATTCGGAAGCGCAAAATTATTTTATGCGCGATGACGTAGACATAATATACATTCGCTATTAAAATGAGGTGTGCGGCCAATGACAACGATAAAGGTCTCCGCCGCACGGAATTGGATTTGCAAAATTCCGATATTCCGTTTACAAAACGGAAGGATGAGATACATTTATATTAAATCTTAATTAAAGAAGCATTATTTTGCTATCGGGATTAGATCGTGCACATTACGACGACACTTTCAATTGTCATATCGAGAACGTATCCACTACCGATAGCGATATTCTAATTCTAAAGTCTTCATCAAAAGTCACGAAAGAGTGATCCACAAAAAAAGTGATTTTTTCGCCCGTTTTTTTTGTGGGTCCTCGATTTTGAGACTGGTTTGTGTGCCAAATGGTACCTTACAATGAGATATTAATCACAGAAAAGTTTCAGATTGACAATTGTTATCACAACTGGAGGGCAGTCACTTATTACGTCTCTTTACGCGAAAACCTAATTTTTTTATATCCAAATCCAGTATCATTTACGTAAAAAACTGCGATCAACCTTCATCGGCAACATGCAATAATACCATCAATAAAATATTGTCATGTAACATATAAACTCGCTATTCTTAATAAATTGAATTATTTCGTGTATAGTAGATATAATGATCGCATGATCTTCCACATATCTGCAGTTTTCCACGCATACTGAATTCAAGGTATTAGTACGTTACGTGCCGTCCTTCAGAGAAATTACAAGATTATCAGATATAAAGAGATGAAACATAGTTATTCGGTAATTTGGTGGAGACAAGTCCAAGATCTTGTACTCGCACTGTCATAGCAGCTGTATTGAACTATGTATACATATCAATAA